ACAGTTACACGTTTGTGGTATTCCCATATTGTGGATTGCTTCATTTGCGTGGCCAGTTGTCTGTCATGTCCACTGGTACTGCTTAATTGAAAATGTCAGGTGTATTTGAACCACAGAGAAAGCTGACCACAGAAACTTTGCAGATGATGGTGGTGTATGTATGCTAGGAAGAATGCTTTCTTCTTTAAAATCTGTCTTGTAGTACAGTGGATGAAAAAGACCTTATTCAAAGCTGTAGACTCTTGAACATCTTTATAAGAAACTGCTTAAAGTTACACATATAGTCTGTTTACTTAAATGAAGGCGAGGAAAACACTCTCTGTCTTTCTGCAGCCTTCTGAAAAAATGCTTCATCTTCTTTCCAAATATTTCGACCTGTATTTTTTTTCTTCTTCCCTCAGGCAATGTGGCTTTGTAAACACTTGGATGCCATACGTGTATCTCGGGAGACTTTGTTATTCAAGGAAATATTAGCGCTGACAAAAGAAGCAAAGGCATATAAAGAAAGAAAACAGGTGTGTAAGAGGGTACAATAATAGTAGTTCTCATGTCACAGAAGAGGCATTCCCATGATTTCCACTGCTATGAATTGAGCAATCGGAGTAAATATTCTTATATCTATGGTGGTTTGTACATTGGTTTGTGTATATGTAGGTACAGGGTCTTTCAGAGAAGAAGGGTAACCTCTCCTAGATAAGAAGATATGGACAAAGATAAAAATGTGTCAGGGCATAGAATAGGGGCAGGAGAGGAAGACAGTGTAAAGAAATGGAGGTCTTGAAAACATTAACCTTAGACATGAGCAACGGAATTGAGAGAAGTCCAGGTATGCACAATACAATTTAAAGAATGGTTCATTATATCATTAAACAAAGCGTCTTCTATTTCAGCATGTTTGGTAATCTCAATAAAATAAGCATTAATCTCTGAGGTCTCCTTTGGTACAAAATGCTCTGGAAAATATGTATACAAAGAACTTTTTTTGATCTGACAGAGCTACTTAGTTGTGCAAGCTTGATTTCTCTGTAGTATGACACAAATAACTTACTTGGTGCATTAACTCAAAAGCAGTATGACAATCCAGTCAGTTATTGAAAACCTTAGAAGCTCTCAAGCTGACGCAATAGCAGCCGACTCAGGAGATCGTTCAGTTCCTGGGTTGACGTGCTCTATCCAAATCTGAGTACCCGGTTTGCTCCGGACAGGTTTTTAAATCCAGTAATGCTTCATTGTGGGCCTCCTAACTAATGTTCAGAGGAGTTGGTTGGAAGAACGTTTTTTTCCAGATGTCATGACTCACAGGATTAGTTGATCAGCAATGTAGTTGTCTTGTTATTAAAGGCTAGTGACAAGTGGGTCGGGAAAATACATTGAATGAAAGAATATCCTGAATACACAGAAGCATCGCTGCTTCTGATTCCTGCCCTTTTAGCTGATTCCTTTCTCCAGGCGTCAAGGTGTTCCATGAGTAATAGAATGGAAGAAGTCTGGTTTTCTGTGACTCTGTCTAGCAAGTCCACTAGTTTGAGTTTCTCTTTTCTCCCTCATCACCTATTTTCATAAAAATTGAAGAAATTTCATTTCTATGAGAATTCTACACCGTTGCTACATTTGATTGAAATTGGCCAACAGACTCATAATTTGCTGAGATGGTAGATGGTGTGATACATAGATTCGTTTTTTTCCTTAGAAAATTAGGCTGAAGATAGGGTAGTGTTTATTACACTGAGTTAGTGAATGAAGTTTGGAGACGCCTCGAGTAATATACTTAAAGATCTGAGAGGAAAGAGTTAATTGAACTCACTGAACTTACTGGCAAAAAGGTTTGCTTTTGGCTGAGGTGATAAAAATGATTCTTACTGAGAATATGTACTTTGAAATCTTCGTTCTAATTATTAAAGATTGTTTTGCTAGATTCATAAATTTCAACTTAGAGGGGGAGAATTTAAAACAAAAATTCCCTTTGGTTTAATTACTGTAATTATTAACATATTTCAGACTATGCAGATGCACTTTCAAGGGTGTCCTTTTGGGCTTATTTGATTTAAAAAGATGGATGGTGTGGAAGATGAAAGTCAAAAATGTCAAGGCTAATCAGGTAGTAAGGAGTGCCCGAAGAGCAGAATCTGGTGGTGGTTTAGTACCATGCAGTTTGCCTTTGTTTTTGAGATGTTAGATCCTAGAACATTTTCATTAAATCATTTCTTTTGTTCTTTCATGAGAGTTTGATTCTTCAAATGTAACTCCTAAAACTAGGAGGGAACTCCTTGCTTCCTCTTAATCAACGCAAGCTTTACAATGACTTGACAATTTGGCTACATTTTTAAGAGCTGTATTTTCCCTTACTGATTCATGTCTGCAGGCTAAATCTACTTTTGCCGTAACTGACCCCTGGTTCTGCTGAAGCAAGTGGTAAACTTGACTCCTCTAGCATGCATAACATCCATTAGCACTAATGGGGTTTGAATGTCTATTGATGAACAGAACAATAGCTGTTTATGCTGTCTTTGATACAACCAGGGCATTAAAAAGTTGTAGTCCTGGCCAAAGCAATTTAATAAATGGAAAGAGGAAAAGCAGGAACTAAGACTGTGTTTTTGAAAGTCTGGTGTGAAGATCCTATAACGCAATTTAATGTTGTTAGAGGAATGTTTCATGCATATAAGGTTACTGTGCCTAAATTAACCCCAGTGCCAAAGGTCATTCATTTTTAGGTCAGCAGGCCAATGTTACTAGATCTGGACAAACGCTGCAAAAAGGTCCGCAAATGTTTGTTCACGTATTTTACTTACTTATCTTTAGGCAAGCTTTCATCTCTTTTGTGTTCACTTCCAGTGAACATTAAAGCATTTGAGTTTTCCTGGCACAAGAATTCATGGAAGGCGTATTTAAAATATGTGATTATTCTCTGAAGCTCAATTTTTAAAGTTGGACATGCAATCATTCACTAACACACACCTGGCCACTTACTAATGAGCACAGCTCAGGTAGTGAATTTTAAATATTGACTGTTCAAAGCAAAATGTGATCATTCTGCAATGTAAAAATATTCCCAAAAAGTCAAATATTTTTGAATATTCAATAAATTTGAAGAACCACGAGCTATCAATAAATATTCCATGAACAGAAAAAGTGGCTACATTTTTGATAAATCATTGCAAATTATTCCCTCATCTCTAGTTATTATAATGTTAATAGGAAGCACCTTCAGGTTTTTCCTATAGTGTAGTTTAATGATGAGCTATTGCATGTTTCACTTTCCCTGTTAAGTGGGTAAAATAACAAGTTGAAACAACTGTGGTAATTGTGGGCTTATGGGATGGGTGTGCTCTTAATGCTATACTAAATTGCAGTTAAGGTGTTTGCATACTATGTAATGACTTAAAACTACTCTACAGTTGCATCATATCCCTGTGCTTTTTAAGAAGAAATATCATAGAAGAGAGGAAAACCGAAGGCGTCCTTACCTATGCATGTTCAGCATTCTAATCTATTTCAGGACAAGCTACTACGAAGGAACAAATAGGAGCTGTTCCAGTCTTGTGTATACATAAAAAACCCAGCCTTTCATGTGTGTTTATCTGAACCAGCTAAATCTAAACATTCATGATTTTCAAAATACTAAACCAAATTTCTTCAAACTTGACTGCTTTTTCTCTCTGAGGTGCAAACTATAAAGCAAACTAAATCAGAAGTTTTTAGCTGTAGCTGTTTTCAGGACAAATACATCCAAATCTTCCAATGGAAATGTCTAGGGAAAGTGCTCCCTCCGCCCCGGCAACGAAAAGCGTAGCAGTTTTATGAAAAGATTGTAAAAACATAGCTCTGAGTAGATCAGGCATGTAAGATGAAATACGATGTCCCTGAAATAACATGGAATGTTTAAAATTAATCGGGGAATTAGTACAGTTTTTCAGCAGTATGGAAATAGTGATTAAACCAGTGTGTATAGAAAAGCGGTCTGAACGTAAAATACCATGGCTTTTGGAAGGTTTAACAATTCAAGCAGCCCGTCTTTCCATTCACTAAACTGGATGTTGGGACAGGCTCAGAGTGCCTTAGGTAAGATACAGTTCTGCAGTTAACAAATGTATGTGTGTCACTGTCCATTATTGCAGATTTCTGGGAGGTGAAGTCCGATCTACCAGGCTCATGATAAATTTATGTGAGTGTTTATGGGAGAGAAATTAAAAATGTGCTATCTGATATGTATCAAATTTAATGATTTGTGGTTGAATAATTAGGCATTCTACAAGCAACCTATTGAAAATGATTTTGTAGGCCACTGCTCAGTAGGAGGAAAACTGACCAGGAAATGAGACTGGAATTGAGCCACAGAGAGCAGGAGGAACTAAAACACTGAAATACCCTCATGTGTGTCCTTGATTGTTTTTGTGCAATAAACCCTGCTCAAAAGAGAGGACTCAGAATACCATTGCACTGAAAGAAGTTAGTATAATTTTGGTTTAAATTGGTTTGGCAAGGCTTAGCAGGGTGGACCCCCGGCAGTTGCTAGCCTGTCTTGACGTGACACATCAAAGTAGTAAGCAAGACGCTAGCTGTTTCTGATGACAGCGTGGTGCACCTTTGGAAGGTGACAGACTCAAAGCCACAGACCCAGGCTGCAGCAGCGAGAGGCTGCAGGAGGCTTTGACGCACCACCCTATGGGACCTGCTGACTTTCAAGAAACACAGCAATTTCTTTCCCTTTTTCTTTTTTACCTGCTTGAATGTTGCCTTATGAATGGCTGATATGGGGAAAGGCACTGAGAACTGGGGACAGCAGAGATAAATAAAACAAGGAAACCCACTGCCTGACTGGGCCACCTTGTCTGTTCCGCAGCCAGCCGAGGACTGGTCTCTTTTGTGTATTCTGGGGTGCTTGCTCCACTCTACAGTAGAGTGACTTGCGTGGTAGCGTTTCCACCGCTCCTGGTGAAATTGTTTCATGTTCTAATGAAGAAGATTGTTGTGAAATCTTTCTGCATAGTTAGTCACATTTTCATTACATCTATCTACATTCTTTAGTATAACGTAAACCTGCAGAAATATTCCTTTTTTTTATGATTATGCCCTTCAGACTGTTTGGTTAGAAAAAGAGATGGGAACCACAATATATGGAACTGCATGGAACAAAGAGTCAAGCTCACATCGTTAAGTGAAAGATAATTTTTTGACTTGGGAAGTAGAGAATCCGACTGCAGAATTCTTTCTGAGTATTCATTTTACCAATAATGACAAAATGAATGAGACTGAGACAAGGCATTTGGCCAAATGATTAACAGCAGCTCTGACTGGCATGGCCAAAGGCTTAGACTTCATCAGGTTTAACTACCTAACATAGAGTTTGTTCAGCCAAGTTCAGCATAGAATGAAGGCCTAAATTAACAAGATGATAGTGACGAAAATTCTTACAAGAAAGAAAGAAGGGTATTGTTAATTTCTTGTCAGGAAATCTAATATAATAATGGAAGAAATATTATGGGGGGGAAAACCTGCTAAATCTGTAGAGGAACTTTGTTGTTCTGTTGGGTAGCAAATACTGTCTTACAAAACATCTCCAGATACGGGCAAAGTAATAGTCACAGAAAGAAACAGCACTTCTGAAAATCTTGGCACATGCAGTTTCAATCCTATTTCACGGTCCTGAGTTTAAAAATAAACTAACTTGAACAAAATTAACTTTAACATTAAAATCTACTTTAAATAACCTTTCTGGATTGAAACTATGAAACAAATCTCCTGAAAATCAGACTCTTTCTGTTATTTGCTCTGTGTTTGAGATTCTGCTTGTCTCACAGATCATTAGCTGTAAGATCACTAATGCTGAGTCCGCTGACATATGAAGCAGTGGTGGGTCGGATACTTGTGGTAAAAAGGACTACTTGTGGATGTGATGTTCTTATGGATCCCTTTGCAGGTTTGATGTCCAATGTGTGTGTTAGTGTGCAAAACTTTGCACCGCTTCCATGTTAGCGTGCAAAAAGCATGGATGTGGGCTTTGTGTTCGGCTTACCTTTAACACTGATTTTTGTGCCCTTATTAACTCTCTGATATATTATGTTAACGACTTGGGACTTGCACAGATTTATTTATTTATTTATTTATAAGAAGACATCTCAGTTCACCTTTAACCGGAATATGCCTGCATGGTAAAATTCCTTTTGAACTCAATTGTGAATATTCAGCCTTTTTTTGTTCTTTCTTTAGAAAATTCCCAACGCGCTTTGGGCCAATCTGATCCAGGAACGTCTGTCAAACGTGGACTGCATCAAACAAGTAAGAATTGCTCCTCAGAGGGCCGGTGGATAAGCACTTACACAACTCGTGCATAGTAGTTAGCATTCTGAGTCCTGAGCAGAGGAGGGAATGGGGGCAAATCATTGGGGGCTCTGGAGCGGATTGCTTTCTTGAACATCAGCAGAGGGAGTTTGGAGCTTTATTAACAGGATAAAGGGGAGGATGAGAGTATGCATATGCTAATCTTCTAGCACAGAGATGATCAAAGGCTGAACAAGCATAGCTTTGTTGATTGCCTGGGGCAACTGGCAGAGTTATAGTGGACAAAACAGATAAACAGAAAATATATAAAAATCAGTATGTTGAGTTAAGATTTTAGCTCTTATTGAGGGAAGGGGGAAAAAGAGTCTAACGTTATTCCTATCACTTTATTTCTCATTGTGTCTTTTTTTTTCTTCCTGTTTTATGAAAAACTGCATTTGAATATATCTCTTCTAGGTAATAATTAACATGTTCACTGTTAGTTTACACAAATAGGCAACTCAATAGGTTTAGCTGTACTTACAGATGTGAGGCTTCTCCTCCCACCCTCCCATGTTCTTAGCCTTAATGTAAGTAGAGACGTTTAACATAGAACCAAAAGAGAACTTCAGTAGATTAATATTGGTTGAAATCAATGTCTGGACTCAAGGAAAGCAAAATCTCTTTTATGTGTTTCCTTTAAAATCTCAGATGTTGTTATGGTTTATTGAGTCCATAATCAGCCCATTATAAGGGGTTATTTGTAACAGACATACTAATCTAATGGATAAAACCCTGTTTCTAAACAGTGCCAAAATACAGACTGCACATTATTTGATGCACTTCTTGAGAGGAAAAAGTCCAGTCCAAAGTAGGTGTTACGTTCATGAAGGACTAAACACCTTTTTTCAGATAAATAGTACGTGTTTTCCGAACAGTCACTCTGTCCCACCCACACCTTTGGGTTAGGGGATAACCAGTACTTCCTGACCTCATAGTGATATTGCAGAGCTCATAGTTTTATTAAAATCTGTCGCTGCGCAACATTGTCATCATCTACCTTGTTGGTTGAATAAAGCAGGGCTGGTAATTAACATTTCATTGAAGTGTGAAACTTGCTTCCTAAAGCTTCTTAGCATTAGGCACTGAAAGAAACTGGAAATGCTGAAAACGTTATGTCTTGTACTTCTTTGTCTGTCTCTGTGATTTTTGGTGTAGTCTGCAATGATCTGCTGACTGGATCCTTCCATCCATGTCAAACAAAATCATCTTGGGGGCTGGGCCATTGCCTTGCAGTTTTTACAATGGTAACTCTGTAGCGCAGAGGTGTCTATAGGTGCAGAGAAACATCAACAAAACTAGCAAGAAGAATTTAACATCTTGTTCATTTTTGTGGCATATTGAATTAAAGAGTGTAGCTGAGGAACACTTGAGAAACCAGTATTGTCAGCTCTGGATATACTAGCAAATGAGCAGCAAAAAAAGACTATGAATGTCAACATTTTTTGTGTGAGCAGTGCAATGAGATATCATGGATATACAGCAAGTCAGGTGATTCTATGATTTATGACCTTGTCCTTGTGGCAAGATGTGGAACAGCTATCTAAAATGAAACTTCTCCTCTAGTGAGTATGCTTAAAATGTCTTTAAACCTGTAGAAATGAAAGTAAGTTAGAAAGATGATAAACCCAAGAGAGAAACTGCTCTGCTGACTGCTAGGCTTTAGGCTGGTTTCAGCCCCCAAACACTGTCCCCCCCCCAGCTTAACACTAACAGCTTCTCTGGTTGTGCCTACTAGTAGTTAGCAGGTAGGATAGGGAAGATGCTAGGGTACCCCTGGTATTTTCAGTAGTTTTGGTTAAATATTTTCTCACATGATCTCTCAAAGGTAGTAGTTGCTGGGGCAATCTGTCCTCTAATGCTGTCTGGAGGAGAGCTGTTGGATGGCAGTGGTTGCTGTAAACTAGCAAGTAGGTGAATAACTCTTCAGTTTAGGGCTTTTATAACAGTAGCTCTAAAACCTCTCCAACATGGTTATTTTTTCACATAAGTCTCTTTGCCTGATTAAAAGAAGGTATGTTTTCAATAGCTAATTTTTCCAGTGTTTGTTGTGACATTGTTAAAGTGAGTTTTAGTAAGCATCAGCGTACTAAAAATCCATTGAGAGAGCAAATCCATTGCTCTCCAAAGGCTGCATCCACCCTATGCTTTTTTTGCCCCATGCTTTCTATAATTGTTGGCATGGTTCTAGTTCTCCTTTTAATAGCGAGGGAAGGATCTCTCAGTGACTGTTATTTTAAGTATTATGTCATGTAAACTCTGAGTAAGGCGACAAGATGGTTAAAATGCCAACAGCTGCATAGTGTCCTGCCTACATTTTATGTTCTTGTTGTTATCACCAGCAACACTGAACCAGTGCTGGATGTGTTACAGAACCAGGGGAAAAAAAATCCTTTATAAAGCTTCTCTGACGTTCAGCAAGAATGGAGTGGATGTTATTGGTCTAGTTAATGTTTCAGCTATTTTTAGGAAAAACACATAATTGACTTTTCAAAGCTGTGATGGTTATTAAAAATCTTTTAATTAATAGATAGGAATTCATGGTCACTAAAACTTCCTCACGTTGTGTGTGTCTTTTCCATTTGAAAGGGGATCTATGCATTTTAATTGCAATATTTTCCTTGTGTGGTTTGAAATAGAATTAGTACTGTGGATTTTGTACTTCATTGAACAGATTTATGCCATTTCTCTCAAAGCATGAGTCAGCATTTTTTTTCTGCGAATGTTAATTGATTAGGAGCAGTATGTTGGACCATAGTACCACCAGCTGTTTGTTTTATTTCTCCCTGTGGTGTCATTGGCTTGGCATTAATTGTACAGCTTTCATCCCACTGACAGTAGGAATACAGAATTTTTTGTGCCATTGTTTTGACATTCGCAGGTTTATAGATGTCATAGGCATTCTCTAAGGAGAACATTTTTATTGATCAACAGCTCTGCTGAGACTCTGTGTTGTGTGTTCTTCTAATACAAATGTAGTTAGGACTGTGAGGGATCAGACCGGTAGGTCTTTCAGCATACGCAGAAAACTTACTGCAAGCATTATGTTAGAACCTGGGACTTGTGAAGCTGATATGAAGACTTTTCATCTTACAGGGTTATTACATGTTGGCTACGGCACCTCTGACTGCTGGTGTTGTGGAGGGAATTTATAGAACTGGGGAAGGCTAGTGAAGAGCTTGCTACGTGATGAATTTGAGAGAGAGCGAGCTGAACAACCTTACTCATGTCTTAGGACCATTTAGAAACTAAGCTTAGGCCAGAGATTCACATGAGTGGTGGCAGAATTACTTTTGATTGGTATTAAACCGTTCAGAAGGGTAGTGGCTGCCCTTGAAAGGGGAGGAAAAGAGAGCAATGGCTATTGGTTCTTTCTGGTTTTACCTTGGCAGATAAAGATGATCATGTTGTCTCTGTGAAACTCCATGCAAGGACAGTGATGTTACGTAGATTTATCTGGGGAGAGAATCTGCCTATTCACCATCTTTTTTGTTTTCCAAGAAGAATGTGGCTTTTTAATAGCTTTGCAGCTTACTCAACCTACAAAAATAATGTGGGGCGTAAAAGGTTTCTTTCTAATGGGAAATTTGGTAAAGTTTGAGCTTCTTCCATCATCCATACTGCTAATGTTGATGGACTGCAGGAGTTGGGTTGACAGTATTTCTACTGCACTCCTCAGTCTGCTGTTTTCTGAAAAACTCAGAAATTTTAGATCTGTACTGGCAAAGCTATTACTGATATTATTTTTTTGCATTATTGTCTGTCCCCTTTCTTCAGATGGGAGTGAAAGGCATGTAATACTTTTTAAAAAATACTGAATGATGATGTGGAAAAACTGTCGTGATGACTTGTTTTCCTAAAGGCAGCAGTATTCATGACCTGTGATCTTTATGCTTGTGGCTGAGATTTTTCAGATGTGTCACGTAATTCAGCATTATTTCTTTGCACTATCCCTTTTCATTATTCTAAGGCAGTGTCAATTTTGGATTTTGTAATTAAAAAAAGAACAAACATTGAGGATGTAGAGGTCAAATAACAAGAGAGAACTTGAATACCCAAGTCATCATTATTGGGGTGGAAAGTGTGAAAGTATGTAGGCTTGGTAGTATAGCTGAGAGTAGTGCCAGCAAAGGAATGCGATTTACATTTGGGAGTGACCTTGAACATTTCCTTTTCTTCAGATTCCTTAAATCTGGAGAGGAAAGTGATGGCTTTGAAAGTACTTCCTTGTTGCTGATTTTCAGCATGGCATGGGTCTCCGAGGAGCACTTCACCTGGCATTCAGGCAACTGCAGAATGCTTATTTACAGCAGTCTTCATGTGGGAGAGGATTGAGGTTTCCAGCTGAAAGAGAGGGAACAGTGACCACAGAGTAAAGGCATCGTGGAATTACTCACTTTTAGCCTTTGTTCCACCCTTGATGTGATAAGGTGCGATCCATGCATGGATGTAAGGTTACTGCTATCAAGAACAAAAAATAGATGGCTTCTTAAAGAAACAAATTTACCATGTGAAGTTACTAATTACACTTTAATGTTAGTCAGGAGGGCAAAAGAGACCAGTGTTTGCATAAAGCATGATAGGCATATTTTAAGTCAGGTCTTGCTCTGCTGTGTCTTGCTTCCTCTTGCTTCGTTCCCAAGCCACTCTCCCTTTTTACTCTTTTTTTTCTTTTTTCTTTTTTTTTTATCTGTGACATCTGCTTGGAGCTTGTCCCTCCTGTGATACCATACTACTTGCAGCTGTTCAGACCTCCAGCTCTGAGCTGTGCATGGGGTGCCCTGAGCATACGGCCTTTTTGATGTGTGATAAAACAGAACCAAGCCACTGGGGGTATGGAGAGGGAATGCAGCAGAATATCAATAAACCTGTTCTGAACAAAGCTGCAGCTCTGTGGTGGAATAGACATTTCACTGAAGTGTCAAGTAGATGGATAATGTATTCTAATTAGGGACTGACTGATACCCTGGAACTCAGAGACCCTTGGAAATAAGATCCAAAATGCTAACTATTTTTGTGGTGTGTGTTTATTTTGCATTTCTTTAATGCCTTAAAACGTATTTGTTGCAGGAAGCTATTTATTGAGCTATGTTGTCTTACGTTGCAAAAACTTTTAGCGATAATATTGCTTACTGCCTGTTTTAAGGACCTTTGAAATTTGTATATAAACCTCTTGAATTTTGCTATACATTGTTAAAAAACAATATTCTGTGTTTACTGCCTGTTGCTCAGTGTGTGATTTTGAGCAATAAGCTGTAGTGACATCAGAAGCAATGGTTTTGTGGGGTGTTTTTTCTTTGTTTTAGTTTCCAAAAGTGTTGCACTTGGAGAAAATGAGCCAGATTTGTAGTCTGTGTAAATTGGCATAGATTTATTGGCTTCAGACCACTGATGCCATTTCTCCCTAGAAGAGGATTTGGGCCTATATGTATGTTGTACAGGCACAATATATTCAGAACTAGTGCTGAAGTTCCTAGCGTACCGCTAAAAATATTGTGCAGCCTTGCCTCCTGCAAGTCCCAAGGGATAAATTGATTTCTCAGCACCTGTGTGACCTTAGACAGCAGTTCATTCTAATTCGACAGAGCAAACACTGAGAGTGGCAAAAACGGTTTGCAGTTACCTGAGTCTCTTATTTTCTACAGATATCAGCAGGATGACATGTTCCTGAAACCAGGCTAATTAAGGAATTTTAAATAGTCTACTCTATTTTCTTGTATAATTGGAATGTCCCAATTTCGTCCTACAGAAGTCATGGAGATATGTTTCCCTGAAATACTTCTAAATCCTTTGGACCCCATATTGACAGAGCTTCAGATTTATGTGGGAGATGATAATGATTGCTAGCTAATGCAATATTAAAATATCTTCTTTATTTCAGTACCAAGATGGTTTCCAGATTTATTGTAGTATCACAAGGTTATTTTGAGGTATAGGATATAGTGACCAAGGGCATGTGTGGTTAAGCAACTAACAGATAAATTAGCCAAAGTTTAGAAGATTCAGACTTGAGACTGGGAAGTGGATTAGATTTCAAATACTGTATCACACAGAAACTGAGGAGGCTGCAGCTCTCCTACGGTATTTCACAGATCTGTAAATGTTTTTTTAAAGATGCTCAATCCAACACTTAGCTGGCTATAACAAGGACTTAAGGGAGCAAAGGGCTCTTTTTTCTTTTTTTCTTTCTTTTGCTCTGTTGCTTCATTAGCTTTGGGAATGCTGGTTCCATTACTGTGAGTTTTCCTGTATAATTTAAGAAAATAATGAAAGCGCGCATATTTTCCTCAGTGTTCTTGGCATTAAATCTGTCTTTAGATTTGTTTAGCCTCTTTTTTTATACACAGTGTGGGCTGGTATCCTTTTGAATATTTCAAAACTGTAGAAATTGTTTTGGGTTGTTTTTATTCAAGATAGAAGTGTGGGGTTTTTTTTAAGATTGAAACATGAAAAAAAAAAAATCATTGCTACAGTACATAAGTTCCCATTGCTCTGTGGCAGTGGTATTAGTGCATGCCATTTCACAGAGATATCAGTGCTCCATGTTTGCTTTCTTCTATCACAAGCATCCGTAACAAATACTGTGCTGTTGTGAGATCAGAATGAGGTAATTTTTGTGCAAATAGCACTGATATTTAGTGCTAATCTTTGTATTTTCTGTTCCAGGATCAATAACTGTTTCATGTTTTTGTTCAGTAGGGGTGGATTTTGGAAGGCTTCCCTGAAAATCAGGAACAGGCATGGATGCTGCAATCATTTGGCATCATTCCTAGGCATGTTGGTAAGCAGTACAAGGTTTATGTATGATTGCATCCAGTAGAAAAGGCTAGAAGTGTTTCTCCCCAAAAATCCTCAATAAATTCAATACCAGTACTGAAGACGTCAGAATCACCAGACAGCAGAATATTTCAGTACGGTTCAGATTCATTCAAAAACTTGAGGTAACCTGTGAGACTTTAAATCCCACCTTTCACACGTGAACCCTTTTCTTCTTGCACATTAGAGTTCTGTAAATATTTTCTGTGATTTTTTTCTGTAAAAAAGACCACTCCAGCAAGTGTCTCTGAGCAGCTATCTGTAGCTTTGCTTCTGTCCTAGGAGTAGGTCCCAATTTTCTGACTTCAATCTCTAGAAACCAGCCTTTAGTGATCCTCAGACCAAAACAATTCCTTATGTACTAAATACAAATTTGTCCTTCTGTTGAATTAGAGAATGCAAACTTAGCAAACTTTACTCCACCAAGTGAAGTGGAAACATCATGATTTTAAGCTTGACCTTTTAGAGCATGGGTGGATTCTGACTTGATTTGAGAGGAACATTTGTTTACTGGCAAAGTGCTGATAGACAAGACCTTGACAGTTGCCCTTGCAGTCTAGAAGAAGCCAGTTGTCCCAGATCAATATAGTTAGAGGACCTACTTAGAATGTAAGAAATTATTACGATGTGTGGAATACAGTGTAAAATGATAAATGTAGAGCTTGCCTGTGGATAGTGAACAGAATGTTAGCGAACTTGATGAATTGTCACTTTGGATTTGATTTGGATGAGATTCGACTGTTAATGAAGAATTCAGAATCACTGCAATAGAGTTAGGCAAAAATGTTTAATGTCTAGTACTTGCATGTATTTTTAATATAGCTAATGACATCTGAAGTTGAGTTTTGCTCACAATTATATCTGCAACCAAGACCTGAATGAGAATCTTAAAGCTCAGTCTGTCTAGTTAATCAAAAAGAAGATTGAGAGGAGATGAGATTTGCGGTGTATGAGTATCTTAACAGGGAGAAAAGCATCTGAAAGAGCTATTTGATACAGAGAAGAAAGTCATAAGAACAACTTGTTTGAAACCTGTAATCAAATGCACTGAAAATAGTAATTCAATTACAGCGTTTAACTGTGAGGATGATTAACCAAAAGCAACCTAAGGAACTGACAGATTCTCCGTCTTTTGATGCTTTCTAATCAAGTTTGAACACTTTTCTGTGAGGTTATCAAAAAACAAGTTTCACTGGTCTCACTACCAAAGTACCTGGGTGAAAAGTAATTGTTTGTGGTATAGAAGAGAATCAGTCTCGAGTGATGTGTGGGTACTTCTGTCCTAGGCTCCAGATACAATGTAAGTGAGGGAGAACCTTGTTAATTGGTATGGATGATGGGTACTGGACTGGATTAACGTACACTTTATCCCACTATACTGTTTAGGAGGTGAAGCAAAATTCTGATTAAAAGTGAAATAAAGTACTTGCAGGTAGAATACTGGGAAAGGAGAATGAGGCAAATGTGCTTGAAATACATTCATCCATCTTTAATCCTTGGATACATCTAAACGGTTACAGGAAATAAAGCAAGTAACTAACAAGAGCCACACTTTTTTCTTTTTTCTTTTTTTTTTTTTGTGCCTAGTTGTGCTTTATGCTCCAGACACTGTGCTGATTGAGAGGAACAGTGGGAAAAGGCTTGATCCCTTCACAGAAGGTGCAGTATGTGTTTATTCCTGAGCTGCACTAGAAACTGGGGTGTTGCTTGGTCTCAGAAACATTGTAATACCAGTGGGATTAAAATTTAAATGGTATCCCATTAAGAGCTAGTAGGAATTTATAATTATAAATTTAAACTGTTTGGAAAAATTATTTGTTGACATTGCATTGTTTTCTGTACCAATAAAATATGGGAAAATGTAAAGCTCAGTATTGAGCCTGCAAATAGTAGGCTGTGGCAGTACAGAATATTTGAAGGTTAAATCTGTCCATATGAGCTTACATTTTGCTATGCATCTTTGCTAGATCCTGGGTTTTTTCTGAGGTGCAGGTATGCTTGTAGGTATCTTCCATTAAATGACTGTCAAATAGACTTAGCTCTGTATTGTCTGTGGAGTATCGTTATCAATCATCCATCACGAAATAAAATCCTGACTTGCTCAATAAAAAATCATGTTGGATGTTTTAGGAGTAGAATTAGGAGGGACATTCTTAACTAAAGAAATGGCTTTTATTTGCTATAAAGGAGATTTGCTTATCAAAGGTCTTGCTTAAGGTTCAGTCTAAGAATTTGGAGAGCTATCCCCAGTTCCTGGTTCTTGCTCATCATGCTGTCTTGGCTACATGGGCGTGCAGTTACCTTGGCCACTTCCTATCTGTGCATCTGCAGAGTAATAGTCAGCTGTCAGTACAGTTAGCGAGGGAAGTGCACAGTTATTGCTTGTGCCACAATATAAAGCTTAAACAAAGACCTTGATTTTGCTTAGGAAACATTTGGAGCTGAGCAAGACCTATTAAATCATCCTCTTAGTTCCTAATCAGTGTCTAACTTCTAGAGGTGTACCATACGACCTTTGACTGGCCAAGTGATCCACTGGTACAGCGACGTTTGGTGAAACCAGAAGATCTATCTGAACAGGAGATGTCAAAGAAACTGCTGGAATATCACAGAAACTTTCCTGGGGTTTTCCAGATCTACCAAAAAGTTTTGAAATCGATCAATGCAGACCAGCCCTCCATGGATGTCCTCTCACAGGGTAAATACGTATCTTTATGGCAAATCTGATAGTTGATAAACTCTTATTTGAAAGGTAGTTCCTAGATGTTAGAGACAGTTTGTAGGATTAGGATTAGTCAACACAGATGGCTCCCAGCTGAGTTGTGTTTTCTAGTACAGCGTTTGGGCTGTTCCTGGTAATTATTTTACAGGACTAGATAACTGGAAAGTCTTAGTTCCACAGTCCTGCCAAGGAACAGCTGACTCAGAGCAAATGTCACGGTTATTTCTGCGAGAGTCTCTTCTAAAAGGCTGCATTGTGACTCAATTGTTAATCTCCCAGAGGGCTAGTACCTTCCACAAGTCTCATAACAAGAAGTAGGAGTAGTTCAAAGCCGGTAACATTTCATTATTTAAAAGCTGTTTGTGCTGGTAGCTTTTCTGTTCAACAATTCTTGTTTGCCTTTGCTTGACTGTAATGCAATCTGACTTTTAATGTTGATTCTTCGAGAAGAGAATAAGGAAACTGCCAGGAAGACCAATTGATAATGTACTTTGTAGCTGTCAGTCTGTAGATGATCTGTTATATCCCAGTAATTTTGCATCTCAAAAAGGTCTTTTTTTTTAATAACAAGTGCTGCACTTTTAAGATAAACAAGTAGGAAGTTTATATTCTGAATTTACACATTAATTACCTCTAAATTACTTAATTAAATTTAAAAGTTCATATCATCATTCATAAAGAATTCATGCCTTGAATTGTAAATAAAAATGTGAGTGCCTGAATATTAATTATTATTAATTAATAATGTAGTGAGATAAATGGAAAACTGGAATGAAAAAATCCTCTCTAGATCTTTTTTCTGCAGTGCATCAAGCAGCCAGCTTTTTTTTTTTTAAGAATAATTAGATGTGGAGACTGTCTAGGGGATCATTACTCCTAATTAACTTGGTTATTTACTGCAAATTAAGCATCATTTGTAAGCAGGGTGCTTTGCCTGTAATGTTTGTGCTTTTCAATACACTGGGTTATGGAAAATGTTCAGAATAACTGGAGCACTCCATGGGTAGCTGATACTTGGTTTTTAGGAAGCTATTCAGCAAACACGCTGTTTTCTGTTATGCTTTTCCAGGTTTTTTTGTTAAGTATTTTTATTGCTACAGATAGAGTTAAAAAAGAAAGAGGAGCTCTCTCGTCAGTATTATTATGGATTGTTTCATACAATTATAAAATTTTGTAAACTCTTAAACGCTAATGCAATTACTGCTAACTTATGCTAGGATATGTGACATCAAATTCAGTTGTACAGTGGAGTATCCCAGCACAGCTTGTGGCACTGGAGAAAGAGATGTATACAATCCCATGTGGTTGCAGTTTGAGTTAGTTTCTCAATACTTTGGGTCCACTATCTAGAAATAGCAGGGCTCTTGCTCCTCCAATAGCAGGGCTATTGCAAACTCCAGGAGTTTGCTGGAGATGCTTCTTTATTACGAAAATAATTTATAATGATACCAAAGCATCTAGCAGAGGGTCCTCAGAAAAATTGTTAGTTAGTATACAGCAACGTGTTAACAATGGTGGTTAAAATACTGATCCTTATGATGTTCTCCATCAATCCTTTTGTGATTTTTTTTTTTTTTAAATATGGGCTTGTGATTCATACAAACATTAATGTCTAAGACTGTCCTTTTTGTTAGAGTAAAATACCATTTTATTACAAGGACTCTTTAGTCTAGAGAGTCTTTTTATTTGAACTGAAGATGTCTGGGCTAACACTTAATTGTATCCATTGCAATTACAGAGGAAATCAAAGCCTGTGTAGGTGTGCCCATGCTGCTTTAACCACGGGTAACCAAGGCAGTCAGGATACGGTGGCATGAACTTTAGCCTTGGCATTTGAATCTGTGGTCCCTGGAAAGCTTGCATAGCTTGTGCTGAAGCTTGAGCTGCTGTCTTCACTAGTATTGTTAGCCATAAAAGGGGCACGGGGAGTAAGAGTGTTTGGCTATGACCAAATACGATCCTAATTTGTCCTCACTGCCAAGCCGTGTCTTCTTTTAGCTTCTTGATGATCCATCAGGTTCTCTTTGAGATCATAACAAAGTTCAGATCTCTATAATACAGCAATGTTGATGATACTTCACATGTCCTGTGGTCTTTCCAAAGCTCTTATAATCTGTAGATTGACCTGAATGTAGTATTTCCTACTTGATACAAAATGTAGAAGAACGATGTCCAGCAAACAGAGTGGAATCGGACAGGGAAGCTCAAATATCCTTTACATGTTATGCAAAAATGATGGACAAAAGAATAAAATCCTACTCGCTTATGTGTTGTCAATGCCATATTGTGTCGTGACATCCTATGCTACAGGTCTATAATACTGTAATTAGGAGTCTGTTAATCACACACACAGAACTGGAGAAATGTCATATTAATTTAACATCCTGAGTTTTTACACTTAAATATTTGTTCAGAAACTGCAGAAAGTATTAGATGTAATTATCTCCCTCTATAATTTGCATGGTAAAATTGTACCTATCAAGCAAAAATTACTTCTGCTAAAAACAACATAGTAAAAGAGCAATTATTAATTGAATCTGCTCTTTAAAATGGTTTGACATCTACTGATGAAAGAAAGTATAGGAGTGTAATGATAGTAAGATTTCAAAAGTGCCTGTCAGTGTAAGTTGCTGACACGTCAGTTTTATCAGAGTCCTGACTTTGATTGGAGTATCTAGATGTTTCAGTGATAAAATAAATGATGATCCACATGACAACCGTTTTTAAAAAAAGAGAGAAGTTAATAATTTATTTTTTTTTTTAAGAAATAGGATATAAACTGTATTTCTTGCCTTTCTCTGACGTTCTAGTTCTTACCTATGTCCAAACACGGCACCGATCAGCCGCCCCCTTTACACCACGGATTCTCTTTTGTGGACCCCCAGGCAGTGGGAAGAGCCTGCAGGCAGCACTAATAACTCAGAAATATGGTGTTGTCAACAGTAAGTTCTCAGTTAATATGCACTTTGCTCAATTCCCCCTTTCTCTCTTTTTGATCATTTATCTTTTGCTGTCTCTCTGTCTGTCTTGCTCATAAAATTTCTCTGTTTGTCCATTCCTATGGATGTAAAATTTTTGAGGGAAGCAAAAAGTATTTCAATGAAGAAATATAAACCAATAGAGCATGTATTCTGTGACAAACCAGCTCTAACATTTTTCTGGTCATCATTTTTTATACCCTTTACATCAGTATTTTTCCATGTGTTAGATTCCTGTAGTGCTCTGAATTCTTCTGTGGATCAGTAGATCATGAGTAATATCTTTGCAGTTTCAGCTGTCTGACCAAAATTGGGGCACTTTTAAAATAGAATTTACTCGGAACTTTAATGAAGACTCAAGTTCTGTGCATCTGAAGTAATGTGTTAGAAAAGGAAGCAATTATTTAAAAGTGCATTATCTTTCTTTTGTAAAGGAGGCCCAGAAAATTCTATATGAGGCTTGTTGATGGTTACCATGCTAATATTACAAAGTCCTATAATATGAATACACAGCTTGGTGATAGGACCAATGCAATATGTGTCTGTGTTCTATTATGTCTTCTAATAGTGGAGTAGCTATAAATTATTTTAAACAAATGCCTGATATCTGTAAAATTTGCTGATGAGTCATATCCTCTTTGTTAAGTAAAATGCAAGTTTGTTTTGTTAGTATTCTTTCAATGTATACCAAATGGAAAAATCAGAATTAAGCAGGTAGTGATTTTTTACCTTCGGGAGATTCTTTTATTAGTGGAACTCACTCGGTTGTCCATAGCAATGTGCCAGTTTGCCAGTGTCTTCTCTGAACTCCTGGTGAAGTCAAAAGATTTCACTGAACCTGGATTTGGCTTTACATGTGAATAATAACTTCAAGATCTGAGCGGTATTGTTTTCAATTACAGGTTTAGTAGATCTGCTCAGAAAAGAAATAAATTTTTTCAAGTTCAAACTTGAACCTTCAGAAAAGCGTATGCTTTCCATATAATCATTCCAGCTAATGGCTAGATCGTAGGTTTGTGTAGTTCCATTAAAGGCACAGAGACAGCTATGAAACTGTCTACCTATCAGTTTGGGGTTTATAGTGTTTTCAACTAGGTCAAAATTTGCATTTTTTTTTAAAGTAACTACAATATGAGAGAGTTGCAGCTCTTTTTACTAAATACCATTACCACTGCTTTACCCATATGTTGAATTTTATTTTAAGTATACTGTAAACCAAATATTAGAAGAATTAAGTATTTAAATCAGAGTCAGAAGACCATAATTTTTCAGAATAGTATTCAGCATATACTTAATTTCCAATTAGGCCATTGGGATTGAAGCACAGGCTTAAAAATTTAATCCTATGTTTAAAGTCTCGTGAATTGGCTTGAATTTAGGCGTATACATATTAGTTGTCTTAAGTTGGGGTCTATGCATTGAGTTTGTGTCATGGTTTAACCTCAGTTGGCAACTGAGCACCACGCAGCCGCTCGCTCACTCCCCCCGCAGTGGGATGGGGAGAGAATTGGAAGGGTAAAAGTGAGAAAACTCGTGGGTTGAGATAAAGACAGTTTAATAGGTAAAGAAAAGCCGCGCACGCAAGCAAAGCAAAACAAGGAATTCATTCACTACTTCCCATGGGCAGGCAGGTGTTCAGCCATCTCCAGGAAAGCAGGGCTCCATCATGCTTAACGGTTACTTGGGAAGACAAATGCCATCACTCCAAACGTCCCCCCTTCCTTCTTCTTCCCCAGCTTTATATACTGAGCATGATGTCACATGGTATGGAATATCCCTCTGGCCAGTTTGGGTCAGCTGTCCTGGCTGTGCCCCCTCCCAGCTTCTTGCGCACCTCCAGCCTTCTCAGTTGGTAGAGCACGAGAAACTGCAAACTCCTTGACTAGTGTAAACACTACCTAGCAACAACTAAAACATCGGTGTGTTATCAACATTGTTCTCACCCTAAATCCAAAACACAGCACTGTACCAGCTACTAGGAAGGAAATTAACTCTATCCCTGCCGAAACCAGGACAGTTTTTACACCATTTATTGTGAATATGAATTTGCTTCCCCAGGACAACTAGTGACTGTTAAAATTTGTGGTCATCCCTTGTCACTTAGACATTAAACTTCATCAACTTTGTCCAAGAAATGTTCCTGTGGAATATTCTTACTCTTGTTTGCTAAAGAGTGTGATTAACAGCCATAAAGCAGATGAAAGGACTTGCTTCTTTTTCCATTGAAGTCAGTGCGGCTGTAGATGTTGGTGCTATTGATTTCAGAAAAGGTGGAATCAGCTTACAATTATTAATTGGAAGGTTGTGCAATAATGTACAGAGTGACTGTTATCTAATATTTAGCAAAACTGTGTTGAAACTAGGACTTGTTGTGATGTTGCCTCCGTGCCTTTGTTCCCTCTCTGTAAAATAAGGGTCAGGACTGTTGTATCTAATTCGCGTGGAGCCGTAAGACGCAATAACTTTGGTCAGAAAGTGCTCTCCCAGCCCAAAGTAGCAGTATTTCATGTACAACTGTCCTGACTAAAACTTTAAATCTGCATCCCCTGGTGTTCTGTGTGTTTGAAGTCAATGATAATGTTGCATTAGCACAGTTTTTTAAATATAATGCTTACATGATCATTAAATGATCCAGGGAGTCGCTTCCTTGAACTGCGTATTATCCTGCACTTCCAACAGTGCGGTTCAGATGCTGTTC